GAAGCTCCACACGACCTCCCCTCCTCTCGGCGACCAAAACCCCTATAAAATTGCGACCGATCGACGGCCGATTAATAACGAATCAACGTTTTATACCATGTGAACCCTACGATGAAAATTGTAATCTCACGCGATTTTGACGGTCGATCGGTCACGATTTCATGGGGGTTTTGGTCACCGAGGGGAGGGGAGGTCGGGTGGAGCATCATCGATGACAAAATACCCCGACCGACGTGGGTTTAGGGGTTGAAATGAAGGTTTTCATAGTTTTGGATTTATTTCAAAATTTGTGTTTTCTTTCAAAAAAAAATATATCAGGTTGTGACATATGTCACTTAACGGCCAAACTTAACGGTCCGTCACGGCTTAGCCTATTTTGAGTAACGGAATAAAACATTAGGCACCAAACTGGAACGAAATAAATGTTAGGCACTAAACTAAAAAAAGGGGCGTAGATTAGACACCTTTTGTATATTTAAACCCGATAAAATATGTATATATTATCAACTAATTAAAAAATTATAACTAAATATTACTTTATAATCATTTTAAACTATTAAAAAATCAAGATTTGAAATTTGATGTAATACTTAAAATTTTAATTTTAACTAGTGAAAAATATCGAATCTTAAAATTTTAATTTTAGTTAGCGCAAAAATTCTTTGCACTTTTGAGTAAAAGTTAATCAAATTTCTAAAATATTTTGAATGTCATAGTATTAAAATAATAATTTACAGTGTTAAAATATTAATGATAATATTAACCTATCACCAAAATATAATATCATATTATCTTAATTTTTTAAAATATCACATCAATAAATTTATTAAATTTTTAACGATAAATGAATAAAATAAAATAAAATAAAACATAACGGTTGATATAATTTATAAATAATATTGATTATTAAATATCTAAAATAAAATAAAAATGTAAATATTAAACGTGTAATTTACTCTTACAATTATTACGAATACTTATCGGACGATTGTTCAGTTATTGCGTTTGTAATGTTGTACGTTTTTTCTCTTTAAAAGAAGATTCTTAACTTTTCCACAACATTATCAAAAATGACAGTTTTAATTTTGTTACTTGAAATAATATATATAAATAAATAAAATCAATAGTACATTAAAAATAAAAATAAAAAATATTAAATATAACATATTATCGTAGAATCATTTAGAATAATACTCCATTTCATCTTACTTCGGAACAGTTGCTATTAGAATATAGTTTGATACTTCCTAAGAAAACAATTATTATAATGCTTACTTTTTATTAAAAAATGGCTAACTTGTTAATTTAACAATCTATATTTTTTTTTCTCACCAATAATTCTCTTAGAATGTTATTTTTAATAGAAAATACCAAATTAGTAGATGATATTTATAGTAATAAATTAAATTTTAATTAACATATGCAAGTTAAAATAAACATTAAAAATACAAACCCTAAATTTTCAAGTTTGTAAAGGAAGAGCACAAAACATCATGTAAAGGAAGACATGAGAGCCACATTTAATTCAAGACGACAATAACTTCCATTAAGAATTACATAAACACCATGTCAACCTGCTTTAATCTGTGCTTAGATCAATAATCTGCTAACCCATTTACATTCTACTGAAAAGCAAGCCCTGGTTATAAGATAAAACAGGTTTAATCAAGTCATCAAATAGGTATATCGACAGAGTAATCAACAAGCTGTACTTTAGCTTCCTCATTCGAATCGTTTGGGTTTGCTCCCTTCTTCGAATTTGGATTCGATATTCAATATATTCTTATTTAGCTCAACTCCATACTCTAAGCTTGATGTTAAAAGTGCATGTAAGTTTTGTACCAACACTATGAACGCCGAATGACTTACCTCTTAAGGCATCAGATAGGCTCAAATGTTCCGGGATAATTGGTCAGCAATCAGCGGGGGATTCTGGGATCATAGACTCGATAGGGGTTATCGGAGTTGCTTCCACTGTTTTGACTCACTTGGGATCCACAACTCTGTAGTACTAACCAGGAAGAAGCAATGGAAGTAAGCCATCATCTCCCCACCTGAAACTTATTACACAAAAAAGAACGGGAGGTTCGCCTTAATCTTCAGATCATAATTAGAAAGAAAAATTCACAACATAGTTAAAGAACAAGCCAGCAACACAGAAAATCCCAACTAGATTTAGGTGAATTCAGTAACAAGTCTCTTCATTCTCACTCGGACCAAATGAACACATGCATATTTTATAAATAGGTTCCAGTAACCCTTATCACAAGGAAGAACCCGTGTAGATGGGACAAAGTTTGAGGAGAATTCAAGATCACTCTCTTCCACATTCGAGCTGAAAGATTGAATAACAGCTAGTTCAAAAATAAGACTCCAAAAAAGGTTACATCAATTCTCCACATACCCTAATTTTACAAAGATGTGTACTACACTAGTACACTCTGCGAGGTTTCATATGCATGTTAAAGCTATATTACATCAGAACGCATATTTAAAAGAGCTCAGAGGCTTCAGCATCAGAAATTTTTTATGATCAATGTGCACAAGCGGCATCCAATAGAAATCTAAATAAATCTAATCAGAGATGTAAGGAAGATATCAAGAAACAGCAGAATCGATTTAATCACTTAGCTGAGGATGCTATGCCCTTTGTACAATCATTTTGATAAAGCTCCACTCAAAATCACCTTAACCGATGAACACAAGTTACATCATTACTTTTACATAAACTCTACTCATAAAAGAATAAACTCAGATTTCTACTAAGAAATGGTTGATAACTACTAAGAATACCAATGGCTCCAACTTTCACTAATTTACCAATCAAAAACTACACCTTAACTTATATATTACAAAACAGATATTTCCCAAAATATCTTATTTCTTTGGAAATAAATAATAACAGAATTTTATCAGCAAGGAAGTATGTACCTTCAACAGATTGATTATCTTTGCTTTCCATCCAACCACCTGGAAAAACTAAACTCGTTGTGTTTCTCGTTGCAGTTTAAATTCCGAGAACATTTGAAGGTATATAAGAAGAGAAATGGTACTGAAATTACCTTAAACTTTGAAAGCTTCTTCAAGTTTAGATAACAAAAATTGTAGTTCTACTTGACAAACTAGGAAATGGAGTTAAAAATGTACAATATTATGATCAAATGAAGAAGAGAAACGAGAGGATCAATTGTTCGAAGGTTACTGCATGCATAAAGTCAAAGATACAAAAACTAAAAGCCCTAACAACAACATAGACACCAGGAACAACAAAGGTACAAAGGGACAAAGAAGGTTAATATTTACAGAAAATTCAGGACTGAACAGCATTTAAATCAAGCAACTTAAAGTTAGTAGGGGCGTTAGGTCCGCGCAGCTTCAGCGCCGCTTGATCATAAGCGACGGCCGCTTCTTCCGCCGTATCGAAAGTGCCCAACCAAAGCCTCATCCTCCGACCATCCCTAATCTCCGCCGCCCATCTTCCCCACGGCCTTTGTCTCACCCCTCTGTACCTCTTCGCCTTGCCCTGGCTCGGCTCCTCTACCACTCCGTTCTCTTTCTCAGAAACTCCGATGGTGATCTCGTTGACAACCTTCTTCTTTGGTCGCTTTACGGTTTTCTTCGGCAACACCGCTTCGTCCTCGCTGGAAGAGTCGGTAGCGTCGGCGTCCGTAACGGTTATTCGAACAATTCGCCGGGAAATCGGACACTCGGGCTTTCCGTTTGGCTGCTGTGGCGGCGACATAACTTTAGGGCTGTTTTTCAATACTAATTTTGAATGAGAGAGAAGGTGAAATTATTTGGTTTATATTTAAACTTTAGTTTTTCTGTTGGAATATTCCTTTGAATTTTCAAACCGCTTCGCATAAAACTCATTTTAATATTGTCTTCTTATCGCAATATTTTTTCAAAGATCTTTAGGGAAAATAATTAATGAAATATGTTAATTCTAATCTTATTTAATGAGTCATGATGAGGTAAAATCAGGATAAATTATTTAGAGATACCCAAAATTTATTATGAAATTTACGTTATTTATTATAGTAAGACGTACTCGTAATGTGAAACTAATGAATTTAAAAAATATTTTTTTTTATTAAAAATTGTCATAAATGTTTGATGAATTCTAAAAAATATATTTTTTATTAGAATTTATCAGGAGAGAATGATAAATAGGGGTATTCAAAACTGACTACCTATATTTTTTTGCTACCTTAAACATTGGTTATCCAAAATTTTTGGGTACCAAAAATTTAGTCTGTCCCGCCCATTACATCCGGGTATCTGTGATTCATTATTTTTTTACTTTTCTATTCTTTAAATTATTATTATTTTTTTAAAAATATATATAAAAAATTTTAAATTTAGAAGTCTATAATATATGTAATCCTCACATAGAAATTAAAAATTCAAATTATATAATTAAAATAAAATTTATTAAAAATTAAAATAAAGAAATATAATTAAATTTCAAAAGTTTCGAAGTTAAAATAAATATTTTTTAAAAATAATTTAAAATGTTAATGTAAAATAATTTAAGAAATTAAGAATTTAGAATGTTATAGTGGTAAAATTTAAGAAATTAGAAATTTAGAAGTTAGACTGAAATAATTTGAAAATTATGAATAAAAATTTAATATAAATATAAATGAAAAATAAAAATATAAAATAAACACGTTACTGAGTCGACAAGTATCTGATTAAGTAATATTTTGTGACCCGAGGCTTGACTCGAAAACCCAAAAAATAACGAAAAAGTGAAATTTTAATTATAAGTATCAAGTATTTTTTAATCTGATCGATGGATCGGATCAAACGGATATGTATTTTTGAAAGGCCCTAGTGATAAGAAAAGTACCCTTTTTTTTATAATTCTATACGTCTATATATACCCATCTTTCTCGGATTTATTGTTCGACCGCCTGCGATTAACATAATTTTCTTACCCCAAATTCGTTAAACATTGTATCATACTTGCTCTCCTCTCTTTTGCTTCAATGTCCATGGACAGTGAAAAAGCGAGTAACATAGCCGCCTCGAGACGAAGACGGAGCTTGTTCAAGAAAGCTGTGGAGCTTGCGACACTATGCGGTGCACGAGTCGCCATTGTTTCCATCTCCCAGAATGGGAAAGTTTTTTCGTTTCCGGGTTCGGATTCCGTAATCGATATTTACTACAAGTTTAAGGAATCACCTCATTCCGACATGAGACCGATGATTTCGAAGAAAAGGCCGAGTACGGAGAGTGCAGACGATGATGCTACTACGATTGAGATGATTTCGAAAAGAAGGGCAATTATGGAAAGAGAAGAGGATGATGGTGTGATCGAGAAGGATGAAGAGTTGGGGAGCCATGTAGCAGCGGCAGGGGCAAGCATGAATCAATCTTTGCTTGATTTAACCTAGCCCTTACAAAATCAGGCGATGATATTTGAGTATTTTACCAATAGTAGAAGATTGATCGAAAACTTCTTGTTTAAAAATATATTGTTTGAAAGGATAATGTCTAGTGTTAAATATTTATTTAAAAGGATAGTACTAGAAGACTATTGTTGAAAAAGATAATGTATAGTTTCAGATATCGATATCTTAATATAATTGGAGTAATAGACTCTTTTGTGCGAAAATGATTCTTTTAGGTGCACAATGGGGCTATGTTTCTTGTTCAAATGCATGTTGTTGTTCTTTGAGAATGAGTACACTTATTTTATGATTGATTACATTTCCACCACAAAATCTCAACATATATTTGCAATATCGGATGGTTAAATAGCTTTACTACGAAGGATGACTCCAGTTTAAAACTAAGATACACTTTTTGTGGGATGAATGGACCCAAAATACATATCTATTTCAGGCACCACAACTCTTAATTGGGAAACAATATGCAGCTTTTTTGGAATTTGAAACTTCTTATCATTCTATAAAAATAAAATATTTTTTATAATAATGACACTTTCAAACAAGCCTAGACGAAAATGATTATTAGCTGCACTCATAAACACCAGAGCAGACGCCCAATGATGCAATAATACGAACACCAAGCCAACAAAAGTAATAAAATGTGGAATACTGGGGAGGTAAACAGGAAAATATAGCTTAAACACGATCAAAGTTGAAATACAGTCATCAAAACATAAAAATTGCGCGGGTTCATTGTGGAAAGCATCCAAAAAGACCTGACCTTGCATGATAGGTTTAGTGGGTGAAGGCAACCCAAGAAGCAAAATACTAGTAAAACAAAGAGACGGCAAAAAGATAGGCCGGCAGAATCATACCGTACCCTCTTCAGTTTATCCTCTATCTTACAGCTTGTCCTCGTACTCTGAAAGTGGGGTCATCTGCTCCTTCAATCCCTTCCTCTTGCGGATGTCAGCAACGTGGGCAGCTGCCTGCGAACCAGGTTCCAATGGATCGGACGACATCATATCCCAGTGATCAAACACACATTGGGGGAAAGCCTGTCCTGATGTTGCAGCCCTCAGTGTGCTAGAGAATCCGAAAGACTCGATAACGGGAAGGTAAGCTTTGATGTTGTATAGCGGAGTACCAGGCCTCTGCATCTCCTCAAAGACGTGTCCACGCTTTTGGTTAAGAACACTGTAAATACCACCAAGTGCCTGTTCAGGGGCTTGAATCTCAACCAAGTAAACAGGTTCAAGAAGCCTTGGTTTGGCCGTGAGCTGAGATGCATAGAAAACCCTCCTAGCAGTTGGAATGATCTGACCACCACCTCTATGGATAGCATCAGCATGAAGAACCACATCACACACTTCAAAGCAGATACCCCTCATATTCTCTTCGGCTAATGCACCTTCTTTTGATGCCCACTGGAATCCAGCAACTACAGAATCCTTTATTTCATTCAGGTACTGAACTCCTTTACACATATCAACCACCATGTTAGGACCAGTGGTCTCGGGTCCAAAACACCATATCTTCTTAGCAAGATCCTTGTCCCAGCCATACTCCTCGGCTAAAATTTTAGAACGATTCTTGGGATCGTCTCTTGGACCAATTCGTCCTTCATCAATGGCCTCAGCCAGACCTTCCTCCAGAGGCCGTGCTTCCATGTACAAACGGTTGTGTTTGTTAGGAGACTTGCTCATGACCGTTCTGCAAGACCTCTCTAGGACGGTCTCGCGGAATGACACAACAGGGTCGGACTTAATGATCTCAGCACCACCCATAAAATCTTCTTGCAAATCTTTGAGACAGATCTCAAGGTGTAGTTCTCCAGCACCTGCAACAATGTGCTCCCCAGACTCTTCAATGGAACACAGGACCATAGGATCAGACTTGGCCAAACGCTTCAGCCCTTCAACAAGTTTGGGAAGATCAGATGCAACCTTGCATTGAACAGCAACACGAACAACAGGAGAGACTGAGAACTTCATGGCACGTATTGGGTGAGCATCAACTTCCTTCTCATTAGTCAAAGTAGCATTCTTGGTGATAAACTGATCCAACCCGACCATGGCCACTGTGTTACCACAAGGAACATCCTCGACAGTTTCCTGCTTCTTTCCCATCCAAATAACAGTTCTTTGTACACTCTTAACATACAAATCTTTCTTCTCACCAGGGACATAGTTTGGACCCATGATCCTGACCTTCAAACCAGTTGAAACTTTGCCAGAGAAGACACGACCGAAGGCGAAGAACCTACCCTTATCAGAAGCGGGAATCATCTTTGAAACATAGAGCATAAGAGGACCCTCAGGATCACAATTCCTGATAGCATTGGCATAGACATCATCAAGTGGACCCTCATACAAGTTCTCAACACGATATCTCTGAGCCTTGCTTGGAGATGGAAGGTGAAAGATCATCATTTCCAGGAGAGCACTGCTTGCTGGAAGCCATGTCTGCATTACACGCTTCATTAGGGCCTTTCCCATCAAGTCCTTCTCATCAGACTTCATGGTGACATTAAGCTTTTGCAACATGGGCCAGAGCTTATCCTTCTGGTCGTTCATACAAGTGTTGATTATCTGTTTGATGGGTTCATAACAGAATTGAACAAACCCACGCTTGCAGGTAGCAGTGCCGGTGTTCTTGGTGGTCCACTTCTTGGTAGCTGGATCAAAAAAGTTCTCACCCCAAAGTCTTTCCATCATTTTTGACTCATCAACTCCAAACTTTGAGGCATACATTTCTGCAAAGTTGGTTAAGGTAAAAGCCCAACCGTGCAAACCAGCAGAGAAAGCAACAGTTCCCTTCTCCGGGTAGACTTGAACATCACCAAGAAGAGGATCTTCATAGGTGGCCATAATGACATTAGCATTTTCAATAACTCTTTGGAATGTCTGATAAGCCTCCTCACCATCAACCTGGAGCTCAAGGAAGCACCTGTCCATCTTGTTAACAGTCAAGACGGGCCTGATTCTTTCTCCCAGTGCCTGACGGAGGACAGTCTCTGTTTGCACACAGACACCTTCAATACAGTCAACCACCACAAGGGCACCATCAGTAATACGAAGAGCAGCTGTGACCTCGGATGAAAAGTCAACGTGCCCAGGGGAATCAATAAGATTGATGAGGTACTCATTCCCTTGTCTCTCTCCTTTGTAGCTCTTCAAAGAGTCATCGGTCATTTCATAATACAGAGAGATACCAGTAGATTTGATGGTGATACCACGCTCAGCTTCATCAGCACGGGTATCTGTCATACGAACATCACCAGCAACTTCTTGTGCAATGATACCAGCAGCAGCCACAAGAGAATCAGTAAGAGTCGATTTCCCTGCATATCACAGAAACCCTAATCAGAGATGAAGCCAACAAAAATCAACAATTCACAATAGCAGAATAAATCATATCAAAATTTTCAATCATCGAGATCCAAAACGCTTTCACCATAACAAACTAAACTGAAATGTGCTTTGTAAATAATCTAGCATAACTTTAATACAAGTAGGGGTGTGCAAATCTGGGTACCCGGAACTTCAGGGTCGACGATTTCTCGGCCCGTGTCCCGACCCGGATGTTACGGGTACCCGGTAATCGGGTACCCGGATTTTGAGGGTACCCGGTAATCGGGTACCCGATACCCGGTTTTTAATTTTTTATTTTCAAATTATTAATTTAAAAAAATATATACACAAATTTAAATGTTCGAAACTTCGAATTACATACTCTAATATCCGAACATAAAATTTAAAAGTTCAAAATACAAAATATAAAATCCATAATATAAATAATTCATTATATTTTATATAATTATATATAAAAAAAAATAAAAAACTAACCGGGTACTTGGGTAACCGGGTACCCGGAAAAACTAGATTTTGTGACCCGGGCCCGACCCGGTCGGGTAATTTTTTTTAGAAAATTACCCGGTTTTTTTAGATCCAGGTCGGGTCAACAGGGTCGGGTAATTTTGCACACCCCTAAATGCAAGCTAAATGATCATATAATACTATCACCATCTTTCAAAAACCTTGCAATAACACTCTGACATAAACAGCATCACCAAGTACAAATTCACTAAAACAAGTTTGATCTTTGACATCAGCTTCTGTGAAAATAAACATGAATCTAAATGCATACCGTGATCAACATGAGCAATAACAGACATATTACGGATGTTGTGCTTGCGGTCCATAATAGCACGAAGCTCCTCAGCCGTAAACTTCACCTGTAACACATCCAACAAATATAAAATAAATAAAAAAGGTAACAGCTAAACTTAAACTAAACACTAAAAAGAAAACCAGAAAAAGTTGAAAAGCGTAATGTATTCTCTGGACTCACCATCTTGGCTTGTCTTTAAAACACACCGAACAACCAAAACCTGTCCAGCAAACAAAAAACAGAGTTCTCAATCTTCAAAAACCCAAAGCTCATCCAATGAAAGAAATTAATTTTTCAAGATCTGAATTCCTATTAGCTGAATGTAATCAGTACCCAGAAAAACATATATAAACAAAGACCATACAGCACAAGTATAAGTCTTGATTTCCTAAAACGCTGTGACTCCATAAGCTACTAGTAAACAGATCTAACATGAAAATTAAAACATGATCCAATATTCAAAACCAAGAAGAAATGCACGAATAAGGATCTAATGGAAATGAAGGGGGAAAGAGCAAACCTCAAGCTATAGGCGGCGAGAGAAGGGAAAGTGATGAAGATTGCAAGGGAAACCCCACTTTCACTTGAATGAGAGGCAGACAAGGGATATGGCTTATTTATATTCGATGGGATATTCTATATGCCGACGAAATCCGTTTGAGACTGCATGTGTGCTAGGGTTAATCTTCGACTTTCGAAAGCTTTAGATATTTTCAATATAGTTCTGGGGAAACTATAGAGATGGTCATCCAACTATAGAAAGTTTTTAATCGGGTCATCTTATAAAAATTTATAAGATATATTTAAATTTAACGAAAGTTACAAATATA